CTGTAGACGAACGGCTTCTAGTTAAAAAATATATATTCTGGACTTATTTGCATTTTTTCAAAGAGCATAATTTAAAAAAACGGTGGCATAATTTGGAAAAAAGAGCATAATGTTAGCATAATTTGGCCAAAAAAAGGCGATGCTACTAGCATAATATGTCACTTTTACTAACATAATCTATAAATGCCTACCCGTCACCCAAGTCAATGGTTTGCTTTGCTACGATTCCTTTATCAGTCAGAAAGAAATTAGAGTTAAAAGAAACGCGATAAGTATACGAAAGGAAAAAGATTATAATTAAAACCCAAATCATTTAGGTAAATATTGAGGTGGAAGATATCAGTCGTGGACGTGAACACTCAATTTTTGCTAAATCTGTGACATAACTTAAATTGATGAAAGTATTTCCTGATATTCAGGTAAGAACGATAAGTAAAAAGCTCAGTTTTCGACAGAAACACACACGAACACGATATAAACTTAAGACAAATTAGCTGATTAGTATAGCTGTATTTTAAAAGACGAGACATTGACTGATATATATTAAGGCGCCAGTGAAAATCCACCAACCAAAATTATTATTAGTTCGACATCGTAAATATTGTTTTCACTCCAGTTCTTTCAATTACAAACTACTTTCACTTCTTTTTTTTTTCTTTTTTACTTCTGTCCTCGCATGATTTGCATTGTTCGAAACAACAATAGTATTTCTTTGGCTAAAATCTAGAGGTAGGGACCCTCACAAAAGCCATCTGCAATCCGCTTTACAATTCATTTTGTCTAGACAGTATAAATTAAAATCACAATTCGTCAAGGCAATCGGAAAGATGCGTGCGACACTGATTACACTTTTGACAAATATATTTTCTGATTTGGAACCTTTCCCAGCTAATAATACTTATATTTGCCAGATCGCAACTGTATTTTAGCGCGATGGGCACATTATCGAAATAAAAATCGAACATCTGAGGGTATTGAACGAATAAGGTAGTATTTTAAATCTGGAGTGGATATCTGAACTGATCAATAAAACCGTGACCAAGTGAGGTCAAGTTCCCGGATGTGCTAAGAATCAATCCCATGGGTTGAATAGACAGTTTCAACACAAACACTCGGCTCTACCGGCTCGAGTTTCGGCTTCGTGAACTCCTTGCAAAGAGTAGGATACAGCTGTCTTAAGAGTGTACTCCACTGGACTGATTTGCGGTTAAAACTCGCATAATTCCTCGACAACCATCGCAGAAATTCACCAGAAAGCATCGCGCTTAATCGTGAATTGTTTCGCAACGACAAATCGACATCAACACATCCAGAACTGCTCCCAGACAATCAAACGCGTGTGATATAAAAGCCACGATCAATTGAGTGTCAGATATTTGAATGTTTTAAGCTGATATTGGTGCGGCGTCGAAATGCTCCCTTTCAAAAAATACCTCAAGAAACAGTAAATGTTTAAAATATCTCTGTAGCTCGGTTTTAAACTGAGTCCATCTGCAAACATGGCGAGTTCATTAGGTAAGGTTTGGACTGTAATAAGAAGTGTATCTTTTTTTGCCATTACATTGATTCAATTATCGCGTACTAATTAATTGAACACCATTGCTGTTGCTTTTGCTTTTTAAGGGCTGTTTGTGAATCAGGATGATTTGGACGAAGCGAACCGACTGTCCAAGAAAATCGATTATGCTCAGTTAGAAGACTATGAAAAGGATATGGTTCGGAATATTTTGGAGTACAACTGGGACTCTCAACACCAAATGGTGTCGAACCTGCTACACTTTCCTCGCATCATGCCTGAAGATAAGCGAGTCAAATGGATTTTAAAGGGATTAAAGGAAGAGAAACAGTCTTATTACGTTCTTGCGGCAGCTACCGGCGTTGCGGGTCTAAAGCTGCAAGGCAAAGATTCGGAAGAAATCGTGGAATTGCTGAAGAACATCTCGACGTCGCAGAACGGAATGGTGGCTCTTCGAGCGTTCATGTCTCTTGCCGATTATTTGAAACACCCGAAAGATACCTCCTTTGTTATGAAGTTTATGAAGAAATCCAAGTCAAACTTGAGGTACAATTCGCTGGACTGGCTGATAGAAAATGTCAAAGATCGAAAGGAGCTGTTGTCCTTGTTCGAGGATGAGTCCCTCCCGGAAGATGTCAGACTTGAAGCCGTGGAACGGGTCAACAATTCAACGGATAGTGAAGCGCAAGGTAAAGTGAAAACACCATTATTTTGTTTTCCTTTGGTATTTCACAACTTCTGTTCAAAATCGTGCGAATATCAGAACGTTTTGGATGATTAATTAAAGGATTTAGGCGAAGTGACCTGTAAGTAATGGACACTGGTCCCAGAAGTAGATCGCGTTGTGATTAACTCCGATAAGCAACGCGAATAGATCCATTTCTTCGCTATGGGGCGTTTGAAATGGTATTACAAACATGCGCAAAATACACGATTTTTGTGCTTAACATCCCGCCAAGTTTATTTGCAAAATACTAAGCAAATGCGCTAAAAAGAGCCTTTCGGAAATAATTTTCTAACTGCGGCGAGTAGTTCATCCGCTGGCGTGGAGTCTTTGGAATTTCCAGCCAACAATAGAAAAATCAAACTCCTAATTATGAAAATTTATCCGGTTTTCATGAACGTTTCCGATGGGTTTGCAAGACTTTTTAGACGACTTGCTGCGATATAGACTGTTTTGGGGTTAAAAAGGGTACTTTGAGTCGCCAAATAGCCTCTCGAGTGGTCTGTTATGATGTCTTTCGTCAACAAAGAACGAGCAAGCGGAATTAAATGTCATAAATTGCCAGTTTGGGTAAGGTTTTTAGCGAGTGCATACAAAATATCTGAGGTCTCAATCACCGATTTTTCTTAGTTTTACCGACACGAGGTCGTTTTAGAAGTTTCTTTACATGCGGTCGAGGATTACCAAAATTTACATAAGCGCCCTTCATGTCGCGTGTAAACAATTCACTTAAATGAAAAAAATACACACACTGGTACTTTTGTTTTGACCTTTCTTCTTAAGAAGTACTCCAAAACAACGGCTGCCCAATATCTAAAGAACTATCATTTGAAATGTTTGGTTAAGTTCACGAAAAGCTTTTTCTAGTATAGTTTAGCAATTTTTTGCTCTTCTTTGTATAATTTCATCGCTTGAATACCCTCTGTCTTGAATTATAATTACTTAGATTACCAAAAGCGCGTTTTTCTGAGGGATAATAAATTATTTCGGTAAAGCGATAAATTGTTTATTTTAGCTTCAAACGGGAAAACCGATATCCCTTGGAGGTAATGTAGAAAGATGTTAGGAATAAAAGGCGCCAGAGAGAATAGGGGCATCGATAAACAAGAGCTCTTATTCCTCACTCAATAGACTCACTAATTTGCAACTAATGAGAAGTACACGATAATTGGCCAGACAATATAGAGTTACTCTTGGCAATAAAGCAACTTCCGAATCGATCAAAGCGTGCTGACAGCAAGACTAACTTAAATGAAAGGTCGGTTTTTCCAATGACGACAAACGTGCACGCAGTGTGTTTTGCTAATTTGAACACAGGTGGTCTCCTGTTCTATACAAATTTGCTGTTTTATTTGTAAAATAGAAAACAGATGTCAATACTAACAAGCTATAATTTGTGTGGTCGCTTTTTAATTAGGCGTCCGTACGTCTGCAAAGTTCTTTATCGCTGATTGCCGGGTAATTTAATGACAAATCCGGAACAAAACAAGAAAAAAGTGGTTCGTTTTGAAGTTAACTCTGAGAAGCGTGAGAATTTGTTATAGATTTTGGAATTCAAGTTATAAGGTGTAAAGCTGAGGTTGAGTGTGTGTAAACAAACCAGATTTCACCCTGTTGAAGAGAGATCAGTATATTTTTTTTTGGAAACTTGAGCTTTTTCTTTTTTTTTTTTAACTAAATATTTTTTTTTGGAAACTTGAGCTTTTTCTTTTTTTTTTTAACTAAAACAAAAGATCTTAGGAAACGATTAGCAAAAAGAAACTGAAAGAGGATTTAATTGGAGCTTTAAAGAATTGCAATAAAAATTAAAGGCAATTCGAGCCCTAACAAAATCAAGACATTATGTCGACTGAGTGTACAATCCAGAACGCTTTCTGCACGAGTCATAGCAGAAAATTTGTCGAACTGAAACGGCAACGGTAGGGAATATCCATTTAGAGACAAAGTTAGGACCATGTAAAACTCTTAGCTCGCAAGAGGATTAGGATTAAGACAATTGACAGTCTTAATAATCTGTACAGAGTTCTACTCATGTGTAAACTGCATCTGATGAAATATCAAGATAAGAGGGTATTGTACTGTGGTTTTCATGATCGCATTGAAAAATTTCCCGTAATGAGGTACGAGAGAAACTTCACCAGCTAACAATTTAAAAATGGATGTTTGCTGGGATATCGCTAGGCAAAGAGCTTTTATTTTTGTCACAGCCGGCTCCATTCTGTGTTTGAGAACAACTACAAAGATCTGTGAGGATGCATTCAAATAAGTTGTTTTAGCTGTTTTTGTTTTTATTTATTTTACAGAATACCCTGCGAACAGAGGCCCTTTGATCTTCCTCGATTAGTCTCTTCCCGACTAATCTAGGAAGATCAAAGGGCCTCTGCCCGCAGGGTATTAACAGAATGACTCTAAACGTAGTTATGAGTTTAAATTACAAAAACCTCAACTTTTGGTGGCTCTAACGCAACCATCAGATTTTAGGAAAAACCAGAAGTAAACTTCAAGCCTTTAAATGCTGAGAAATGATTTTTAACGCGAAGCTTCAGTCATGAGGTCTACAAGGCTCACCAAAAAATATTCGCTTTCGGAGATTAAATTTATAGAGAAAAAGTAAATGAACCAGTGCATTAAAAAGGATGAAACGATACTTACCATTCACTCGCACAGTTTCATATTCACAATGAGCCCTTGAACAATGTAGAGAGGAAGGGAAAGGAAATTCTCCAGCTATCAATGGCTTGATTATTTAAATGGTCTGCCATTGTGTATTTGAAGAAGTGTATCCCAAAGATCTTTGCAAACTATAGATGTGCAGAAGTCAGTCACGCGGCTGAGTTCACATTAGTAACTCATTAAACTCTGTTTTCAGATTGGGCAAATGAGGATCTCCACCATTTTACATTTGTGCCAAACCTGGCCGAGTTTGAAGCCATGAGGACAAAGGAGCAGACACTCTCGGAGCTTTTTTCCGAGTTAGACCTAGACAAAGATGGTTTGATCGGCGCAGAAGAGCTGAGAGATTTCTGTGAAGACATTGGTCAGGACATCACCTTGGAGGGAGCGGCTAAAGATATTGCACTGGTAGACGGGAATAAAGATGGAAAAATCGACAAAGACGAATGGATCGAACTTATGTTTCCAAAGTTTAATGTTCAATGAGAAATGTGAATTGCAATGTAATTTAGCAACTCGAAACTACAACTTCTCCTTGGTAGAAGTGACGATATGGTAGTATAAACAGTAGAACGCTACTAACCTTTGAAGAACTCACTCACTTCTCTTTGAAATGCAGATGGGGGAACGCTTTAGCTTTAGATAAGAATGGCCATTTGGCGATACAAAAGTGATAATAGTCCATTTTACAGTTGTGTGCTTGGTTGCCAAGCCTTTGAATGGGAGTGAGGCTAGGGATGACCTTGTTATGAGACAAACCTTGCTGCCTTTCAAACGTAAATAACTTTGTTATCATGCTAAGTAGATACAGGTCTCTATCCCAACAAGGTCACCTTCAGCCTCACTCTGAATCAATGGCTTGGCAACTAAGTACACAACTGTAAAATGGCCTATTAAATACTGAGTTTAGAGCGTAGCTAGCCATTTAGGAACCCACGTCCTCCCCCGTGAAAAGCACATAAAAGACGCTCTCCAAGGTTCAGTCTTTACGTATACCCTTCGTTGGAGATGCAGCGTTTCTCGTTAAGCCGCTGTTTATCGAGCCTTATAGCTTTCCGGTGAGTATTTAATAAGGAGAGAAACGCTCTTCATCTCTTTCTTGGCACGTGGGTTAGGACTAATTACAGATAGCATTTTTCAATGGGAGAAGGGAGAGGAGATTTTTGTTTCTGATCTTTTTTACAGTTCTAAAGAGTAATCGACTCAATCGCAACGTTCAGGAATGGATGCGAGTGTGTCGAGTACACAGACAGTGGGGAAAGGCTGCGTAAGTTTGTTTGGAAGAAGAGGTTTCTCTAAGAAAGTTTTCCTAATGACATAAAAGAGTGTAAAAATGCGGGTGTACTATATAACCTTTTTTGTTTTTTTGAATGGCTATAAGTATAGTTAATAAAATGATTTCGAGTGCAATTTGGTGTTAATAGGTACGAGTAAATTTTTCAAAGACAACAACGGCGTAAAGATACTTCTTAAGATAGAATAAGAGAGATGGTAACTTTTTAGCTTGGTAAAGAGAGATGTTGTTCGTCTTGTCACGGGCGTGGGACGAAGAAAAAATACCCATTAGGGATTGAACCTCGCACCTTTGGATTGGGACTCCTTCTCTAATACCTCTACATTTATTGATTATTTGTCAAACCAAAAACAAAGTAATCAAAACGGTCAATCAGAGAGAAAATATCCCAAAACACTAATTGACTTTTTAGGTAATAAGAAGTAAATTGCCTGAAGCGCGGGAAGTCGCGATTGGTTTCGGTTTTTAATCTGGGCCTAGTTGTGTAAAGGGAGGATAACGCTGTCCAACGGATAAATCGCTATCCAGCGGATGAGGGACTGCAAAACGTGCTGCGCTATCCACCGGATAAACACTTCTCCAGTAGACAATGTTATTCAACCTTCGAACAACCATGGCCTGACTGGAGAGGTCCGCGCGAGTTTTTAGACCAATCACCGAAAGTAGATTACCCTCCACACGACTGAAAATCGCTGTTTATGGTTTATGTGCTATTTTTTGTTCCGGCAAAAAATGCTCTCTAATACTATCTGAAGGTCTCTACGAAGTCACTTTCTTTTGCATATTAAGCAAACGGGAGCTTACTAGATTGATCCAGCGGTAGCATTGCCGTAACTATGTCGTTCCCATGTCTCTCGCAAGCGAAGTTTCTGCCCCTAGAGAACTGGGAGCTAGTTTGGTTGAGGATATTTAAAATGTCGATCATACAAGGGTCCATTTTTAAAGTACCCCAAACAACTCTCCTTTGTTACATGAAGTTTGAGGTTGCCTACATCATACAATATGGGCTTCATTCCTCTAAATAACAGTTTCGAGTTAACAAAAACATTAAGTTCGGGCAATTTCAAACCTTGGGCGTTTTATTCCATTTTTTTTTTTTTTTGGTCTTTTCCAACCTAACATCTTTTCTCTTCTAAGCCTATCACTGTTTTTCCTCTAGCTTTTGACAAATCTCTAAATATTAACATCTAAAGTCATGTATTCATATATTCCTGAACAGACCTTGTTCAAAGAGTTAAAGCCATTTGTTGTCTAGTTCAAATTCACTTTTGATTTACGCTCAAAAGGCTCTTTAAACAAACCAGGCCTTGTGACACACACGCGGGAGTCTGGAGAGAGTTTGTCTCGTTCAAAGCAGAAAGCCATGTGCTTACAACCGAAGCTACTCTTTTTGGTTGCCAAGGTGATACGTCAAGGAGAGACATTGCCGCTGCCAGCTGAATGCCATACGTCTCTACTAGAAAAAATAAAGATATCAAAGGAAATCGTCAGAAAAACTGAGCTTCTTGTCGGTTAAAGAATATTTTTTACAATACCTTTCGAGCCTGGTGATGTATTTTCAATCAGTCCACAAAGCATGTCCATTATTTCTGAGACAAGATGTTGTCCATTTTCAACAGCAATTCTGCATAAAACGCCTGAAAATAGAAAGATTCCAGTTCACGAAAGTCCTCACAGACATCTGTCGAATCTTAAGATACTGCTGATTGCGGTTTTAACCCTTTTCACATCCAAGAGAAACAAACAAGTTATTTGTCCTTACAACATCAATTCCTGAGTGGAGAAAGGCAGTGAAAATTGCAATTAACCTTTGAAAATTCATCCCGTCAATTGATTTTCATCCGTTTTTCCAAAAGCGACTATTCACAAATTACTTTGTTTTATATACACGTGAACCTACCTAAAAGGTGAATACACAAAACAATGTGCGATTCAGGCAACCTGATTCCTGTAGACTTTCCACACTTGGGGCAAACCGAACACATTTCTTTATCGTCAGTCGAAGGTTTCTTTCCTCCCTCTTTGTCTCCTGTTGCCATATAGTTATTTTCCTTGGTTACTCTGTCGTCTTCAGCGCTGAAAATACTGGGTATTACTTTAAAAAAGTCAGGATTTTTATCCTTGTCAGTAACCAGTAGACAAACACAAGTCGACCTTCTGATCTCATCTAATTCAAGGCCTTGATTATGCTCTCCACCTGACGCCGTTTCTCGTTCGCCTGTGCGCGAACTTTCTTCCTCCTTTTCAGCCCAGGATCTTAATATTTGCCAAATGTCGTTGACAATAAGATCATTTAAGGTCCATTGCCAACCAAGAACACAAGATAGCAACTCAATAGACTTGACAATCTCAAAAGAATAGCTGTCGAGGACAAGTCTTCCTTCTACGCGGAAAAAAAATACACGGGACGTTAACCTCTACATGAAACTCAAGTGGGTGACCATTTAAATGAGAGCTACAGAGCCGCACTTTTATGTCGTATCGTTTATCAACACGCCCCAGTTGCTCGAAGGTTGGAAGAAGACGTTGTACGTTTTGCTACCACTTATCCGCCGAATAGCGATTTATCCATTGGATAGTAGCGTTACCCGCTCTTTGAACAACTGGGCCCGCTGTACAACTGAATCTAACTTTAAAGTCTGCACATGTAAACCTTGTGAGTTCCTATTAAAATGAAAGCGACTGAGTAAAACTTTGTATGGCAGACAGTAAGAATAATTACTAATGAGACCCTGAGAGTGAAAAGGTTTTGAAAAAATCATCATATACGTTCTACCAAGTAAACTAAGCTAGCGATAGGACCAGAATAATATAACCTGATTTATTATCCAACTACACCTAGACGAGTACAAATATCACGCGGTATTTGTACTCGTCTATTGTAGTACCGGTTAAACAGGTTTTCTCGCATCNTAGAGAGCATTTTTTGCCGGAACAAAGTTTGTCGGCTGAAAAATCGCCTATAGCTTATACACTGAAGTCAATGGTTTTGAATTGGACCAACAAGCCTCCTTCAATGGATCTGGGGAAAATTCTGCGTAATTTGTGCTGTTGGGAAGGTGATTCTGTTACGGAGGAAGAACTGAGGAATTTCGGATTAAAGCTTGCTAAATGGTTGCATGAAGAGAGCGTTGTCTCTGTCAAAATTAGTAAAGGTACGATGAAGGAACTTGTTTGTAGACAGTTAAATAAATATATCTTATTAGACGTTTTGTTGTGTAGTATCGCTGAGTATTTTTACTCGTTACTTGTATTCTGACTCGCCCTACGGGCTCGTCAAAATACGGCACAACTCGTAAAAATACTCAGCGATACTACACAACAAAACGTCTAATAAGATATATTTATTTAACTGTCTACAAACAAGTTCCTTCATCGTACCTTTACTAATTTTGACAGAGACAACGCTCTCTTCATGCAACCATTTAGCAAGCTTTAATCCGAAATTCCTCAGTTCTTCCTCCGTAACAGAATCACCTTCCCAACAGCACAAATTACGCAGAATTTTCCCCAGATCCATTGAAGGAGGCTTGTTGGTCCAATTCAAAACCATTGACTTCAGTGTATAAGCTATAGGCGATTTTTCAGCCGACAAACAGTCGGAGGATGATCGTAAGACTTCGGGCCAAACTGTAGCTATGGTAACAACGAGCTCTGAGGCAGCGTTGTGGAAACTGTACAGCGTGCGCATGATGTCATAAAGGACTGCTCGAGCATAGGAAAGATCGTCCTTGAGCTGACATAAGGCTGTCAAGACACGGCTAAAAATGCAACAGTACAAAAAGGAAGGGTTCATGTCAGAACGAAGGTATATCTTTTCGAGAGAGAAATTCCATTCGAATGTCATTATAAGGCTGTCAGCACAAGACTGGGAGAAAAAAAAAGTCCAACACAGGGCTTACAAGTTACAATGAAAATGAAATATTTTAACCCTCTGAATAAGAGTGACTGGCATCTAATTTCTCCTTACCATGTCAACCTTGAATCACACACTAAGGTCACAAGAATAAAAGAAATAATCACCGACTAAAGAAGCTCTTGATTGTTAAACAAATTCTCCTTGTCAGCACCTTAGGAAATGTATAGAGAACAGTATGGAGTTTATGCATACTGATGTTAGGGTGTAAAGGGTTAAAGAAGAAATGAAATTCCAATGTTTGGACGAGAAAAAGTCGGGATATTGTATTTTCTCTGTACGGCAGAGTTGAGGAAAGAATTTATGTCTGTCTTGGCATTTTGCGCACTCTCGCAGATATTCAGGTCTCGTTAAAAGGCAATACTTACCATAATGACAAATTCCCTTTCATTTCCTCTTCGTTGAAAGCACAAGAAGCTTCGATTAAACTTCGAGAACACAGGGAAACCAACTGCGCAATCAAGTTTCCAAATAAGGCCTCACTGGATAACAGGGAAACCACTTCCAACAGACGGGACTCAAACCCAGAAATAACAGGTTTCCAGAGGTGCAATATCCCTTCAGACTGAATCTGCGCGAGTTGTTTAAGAATTTGAGGCATAAGATCGTCCCTTCGTTCTTTTAAAAAATGGACTATTCCCGAAGCTACTGGCGTACTAGACGAAATGCATTTGTTACTAGTCAGTCTACTGAACACAATTTTCAGGTCCACATTATTTTCATAAATGCGGCCAAGGCATTTGATTACATATTGAACTTCTCGCTGGTAACTAGGTCGAACCGATAAAGGTCGAAATTTACTATCTTTACCATCAGTTGCTTTCGATGAATCTTTTATATGTAATCCCTCGTCCAAGGTAGGCCTAAAGTTGCTATGTTTGTCAACCAGCGTTGTTCCCTTGTTGCTCGCAAATACTGGTCTCTTATTAGCTACACCGCTCGTCAACGTTACGTCCTTATTAAGAGCAACTCTCGAAGAAGCCAAACTGTTGCCCGACCTTGGAGACTGTTGTCTGTCTGCAACGTTGAGATGTCTTTTAGCTCTTTTCCTTTGAGGGTCATTCTTTTCCATTGCTGAATCAGCAACTGATCGTTGCAGAGTCCGTTTTGCCGAGACGTTTCCCCCTTCGCGGGATCTCAACAAAGTCGTCTGCAAAGGGCGTTGCAATAGGTTTTTTTCCATTGCCGAAGAAATTGATTCCGACGCGGGTGTTTTGCTCTTGACAGTAGTATTTCTTCTCGAAATGTCTTCTTTGTTAGATCTTGTGTTACAACCAAACGTATTCCAGTCTGAGGTTCTTTCAACTCTTTTAGAAATAAGTTCAGTGAAGCTTCTCTTATCTCTTTTGCGTGGACACTTGTCATGTGCATCAGATATCAAGGTTGTAACGTCTTTAACATCACTATTTGAAATGAGAGAGCTTTGAAGTACATCAGTTCCGTCGTCTGAAGGGCAAGGTGACGGAGGCAGAGGTGATAGCGACGGAAAATCTTCAAAGAGACCTTCGAGGTTGTTCAGCAAGGCTTCGATTGGGGGGTCACCTTGCAAATCATGTGTTGTCGCAGGGGCTTCGGGTGATTCCCTTGTCTCAGGGACCCCTAATAACTGCGAAGCTGTTTTATTTCTTTTAATTTGAGTTCTTTTTTGTTCTGGAGAAGCTGAAGAAGTACTTACCTTCCCTTTATGATCAACACTATCATCTCCAGTGGAGGAAATCTTATTCTTGCAACCGGAAAGTTTACTTACGCCGCCGGATGCGTCACAATCGCTTTTCCCGCCAAAACTGGGCATTTGCTTCTCGATGTCGGTTCTTTCTGTTTCCTGCATGGAATTTGCGGAGCAGTCTTTGATCCTGCTTCTAGAACTGGACAGAACTCTTCTCGCATCAGATTTCATCCTTACCTCGTCTGGAGAAACCAAAGTATCTTTTGGAGTATTTCTAAAAGATTGTAAATCTCCGTCAAGTTCAATAGCCACCGAAGGCTTCCTTTCATCTTTATCAACAGTTCTTGAAGACATCGCATCCCTTGGAAAATCGGAGTGCTTCCTTCCCTTCCCTTCTGAAGGCTCTCCTTCGCTCAGCGAATTTTTACAGGAAGTTGGATCATTCTCCAAGTTAGGAAGCATGACTCCCGCAGAAAACGTTAATAACTCTTCCTCAATCATTGCTCTTGGAAGAGATACCTCTCTTTCCATAGGATGCTTCTTTTCTAGAGGTTCTGCAGCCATGTCACAGATCTCTTTTTTCAAAGCACTACTTTGTACTTGAGAGTCTCCTGTTATCATTATTGCGGCACCAGAGCGATCCATCACTTTTTTATTGGAAACACGATAATGGTTCCCTCTAGGAGCAAAGATCCTGTCTTCAGAAATTACATCTTTGAGCTTTTCTTTCGCGGAAATTTCCAATCTTGTTGACATTTTGGTGTGTGTCACTCTTGTTTCAGTGTGAGTCACACTAGTTTTGCCGAGGGCCGCAATAGTTTCACTGTGAGTCATGTCAGGTTTGGTTCGAGTCACGCTAGTTTGAGTCATACATTTTTCGGTGAGAATCGCACTAGTTTTGAAGCGTGACACACTAGTATTGCTATGTGTCACGTTACTTTCAGTATAAGTCGCACTAGGGGTGATGACGGTGGTAGCTGCCACTCCACAAGTTGCCACTCCACAAGTTGCCACTCCACCCTCATGCGCCAGAGAAGGACAATTCGTCGAGGAATCGTCACACAACGATGTAATTCCTTCTCGTAAGTCAGCCCCTTGGTCTGTGAACCCTTCAGTTTTACTTTCTTCAGTTGAACTGCCAAGCTTTGCCTCGTCGGACGCAAAGCAATCGGCGTTCCTATTTGAAGCTAGTTTTCTGTTTACGAAGATTTCCTTTATGTGATGACTATCCAGTAACGACTCTTTTTTCGTTTTCCCAGTGATAGTAGAACTCTCCTTTGAACAAAGACCAGTTTCGAGTTTTGCATCGCCTGTCAAAATTTCAATTGGACTGCAAGTTGCTAATTTTCCAGACGCTTTGCAGACGGAAGAATTTGCATCACCCTGCCTTTGGTCTGGAACACTGGTTTCCAATACAATTCTATTTTCACGATCATCATGGAGAGCACTACTCAATCGTAATTCAACCAAATCTGAACTGTTTCTTTCCGCTGAACCACTTGAGTCTCCTTGATTCTCTTCCACAACGGCCCCAGATGGGTCGCAGAAAATCTCATCGTCGGCAAAAATTGAATCAACCTCGGAAATCTTGGTTATGGTTTGTAAATTGTCGACACTAACAGTGTTGTTATCTCCAAGAGATTTATCTTTTAAGTCAAATGCAAACTCATCGCTTTTCAATTGTGACTGCTCACTGTCAGTGGCCTTAGACTTACTTCTTCTCTCTCGTAAGTTTCGGTCGTTTGGTTCATTTGTCGCACTAGCAACAATTTCCGCGTCCGTTTCGATATTTGCAGATTCTGTTGACACACAAGTACTAGCGTCATTTCTATCGCTAAGTTCGGCCAAAGAAATATCATTGATGTCAGAACTGCACTCTTTCAACGAGGAAATTGGAACAGCAGTCTTGATTTGAGATTCAGAATCGCTCTCAAGTTCAGTAGAGATATTTGTTTCAGGAATATCAACTGCTGTCAAGAACGCGTCCGAATTTTCCCTAAACACTCTTGGTTCAACTGAACCTGGTAGCGAAACTGGTAGCTCATCATCGTTTCCATGGTAACAAGTAACATTAACTTCTGTTTCCTTTGGAAGTAAACCAGAAGTGTTACCATCGTCTATTTGTTCCTCTGACCTTGGAAGCGAGACTCCAAAGTGACTGCAATCGTTGGCGTTGCCATGGTGAGGCGTAACGTCATCGTCACTGCTATTGACAGCTTTGGAGAGTGAGTTCCGACAATTTCCGCGATCACGAATTTCGCTGCAGTTTTTGAGAGAACCCTTGGTTTCTGCTTTACCATCGTCCGTAAAGGAAACGAAACAAACCTCTTTCTCGTTCTTGCTTTTAACACCCTTTGATTTTCTATTTTCCTTTGCATTAGCAATGCGTCTTGAGCAAGTGTTTACTACCTTAAAAGAATTTCCTGATCTTACAAATGACTCGTTTCCAGTTTCTTTCTCTGATGAACTGTCACCATCAGACGAGGAACTTAGCTTCATCGCTTTAGCCCTCGATCGAGTCATGACCCAATGATTCGGTGATGTTATTCGGCGCTTGCCCTTTCGTGGAACACTGAGAGATTCCGCAGCGCTTATCAATGCCTTGGAGACGTTTGCGGTCGCAGTGGGTTCCATGTCTTTCTCTGGTGGATTTTTGCTAATTTGATTTTCGACGTGATCCTCTTTAATAAACGTTTCTCGCTTTGATGTTTCATCTCCAGAATTGACAACACTGCGGTTCGTTTCAGAAAAGTTTTCTAATTCTTTCATCACGGAAGCAGCCGATTTATCTGGAGCTTCATTTATTGAAGGTTCATCCTTGTTATCTTGAATATTACTATTGTTTTCACCCTTCGCTGTCTCTTTTAAACTATTCTCCAAATCCTCGTCGAAGTCTTGGCTGCTGTCTCTTGTTTCCAAGGATTTTCCTACAGGAATTTCTGCGTCACTCTGATCACCAGTTAAGATACCAGCTAAATCACCCAAGCTATAATCACTGCCGCCATCTTCACTGCCAGCCTCGCTGTTACTTTCACCAGTACTCTCCTCCGCTGGGCCGGGACTTGGAGGAAGGGGGCTGAGAGCTGGGGCCATATCGTTTAACGCATTAAGCTCTTCAATTATATATTCCAGGTGATCCTCTGAATGGGAGCCGGAAGCTGAGGACTGTTTATGTCCCTTGGGCGACAAAGGTGCCTGGAAAGATTTCTTTTTTCGCCTGCACGGAAAAACAAGTTCAGCAATGTAACATAAGCTCACGATTTTACGAACAATATGAAAAAAGAATCCAATAACTGTAGACTGCAAACGGTACGATTCGGGGCTGCCTAGGAAGTTAAAATTGTGCCTTACGCCATCTGTTATGAAATCATTTAGTAATATATCATGAACTCCACGAGGGTATCTCAACCAGGACCTTTCCTGGTGGTTGTGGCATTGAGCACCTTAGGCGATAGTACCGTTGGGTGTCAGTGGCATTAGTCTTCTTCAGTGCCAGTAGTTTTACTGTTGAGTTTGCATTAAAGTGAAGGAGTTGGGTGACATTCAGTTTCTTAGTAGATTTGTTTGTCGTTTACCAGTCTGTGAGTCAGTTTTTTCCACAATGAGAGTAACTCGTCCTTTATGGGCTGGTATTCAAACTATGTCCTTCTTGCTTTCCAGCCAAAAGACTTTGTTGGCAAGTGCCAAAGCAAGGAAAGAGCGAGAAAAGTGCGGGGAAGCGCAAGGAACGTAAGGGAAAAGTGTGGGGAAGCCGTGCGCGGAAAGAGCGGGAAAAGTGCGGGGAAGCGCGAGAAAAGTGCGGGAAAAGTGTGCGGAAGCCGTGCGCAGAAAGTGCGGGAAAAGTGTGAGGAAGCGCAAGAAAAGTGCGGGAAGGTGTGGGAAGCCGTACGAGGAAATTGCGGGAGTAGTGTGAGGAAGTGAGTGGACTCTTACGCTTCAATCCAAACTCAACGGTAAACTTATAGCGCTCAAGAAGACTAACGCCATTGACACCAAACACTTCTATTGGGTAACTTGCTCAGTACCACAGCCACCAAAACTTTACGGTCTGCTGAAACAAAACCATTGTTTCATTTAAGTGGTACACGTGAGTTAAAATCTACAACGGTCGCGAGGATCAAAATTCAATCGTACCTCGATTTTGGTGTCTTTTCTGTCTTGTCTTTTCCCCGAGTTCTTGCTATATAGGAATTGGAGAGAGAAAGAGAGGTAAAAATGTAACAAGAGAAAATTAAGTATGCGTACGTGAAAATAACCTTACTTGAAATGGGAGGAAAATGAAAAAGTATTGGTTGGATTACACAACCAGCAAAAATGAAGAAAATCGAGTACTGTACTAACTAATTTGTTATTAGCAACTGTATATATTACCACTGACAGAAGTAATACTATTTCAAGAGAAAGCATGCAATTAACCAAAACCTTGGAAACTAAACTACTTGTTTTTCAGGAAGAAAGGGACTAAATTTACAGACAGTCAGTCAAATCCACAGAAGTCGTTGTGAAGCTACGTAAAAGAAAGGAAATACAAATCGTTTTAAAGAAATACTTCAGTTAGTTCTCCCCTTAATTTTAGTAATTTCTCCTGGCACGTACATGCACACTTCAAACAGTAACATATAAGCAAGTCTTTCTTCACCATGTCGATAAATTTTCCCGCAAAAAATGGTGAGACGATTTTGTTGGATTTAAGGACAGATTTTGAGAACTAAAATTATGGGACATCACGCATTGCGAATGAGCTATAGGAGGGGCAAATAAACCTAAAGTTAACTCTTTGTTTACCTCTGGAACTCTACCAAATTTAAAATCTTGTAATAAAGGTGACTCTTTCTTAATAAAGCACAAGGCTCAATTCTTGCTCCTTTCTGTCCACGTGTATGTAGGAAAGAGTACAGTAGGACAAAAACTGAAAACAGTGCATGTTCAAATCAGAGCTGATACTTACCAAGCTGGGCTTCAAGCTTGAAACTTTGAATTTCATCCTAATCGAGAGCATAAAAAATGAAACAAACTTACATGAAATGTGAAGTTCAAGATGTGCAGTGAAATTAATCTATCATCACTCCCTTGAGCTGAGTTAAATCTGAAGCAAGCAGTGAAAAATCTAACCAGCAACAAATAAACACCAGAACCCTTAATATTTTTGCTCCAAAAGGTCTGATTGCATAGAAATTACTCCATAACACAGCTACAAGCTGCCACCATGGATTTGTGTTCCCTGCATGAGCAGGTGAAAGAGCCCCTGATAAAGGTCCTCTGAAAGTTTTCCCTAGTCACTACATTCCACAGAATGAACTATAATACACTGTTCAAATAAACTATTTGGTAAAGTCTGGGTTTAGCTGCATGACCAAAATCCCAGCCCATCCAAGAGGAGTAGCAACACTTTTAGTCCTATCATGTAACAGAGCCCAGGATCAATGGTGTCCACCACTTGGCTCTTGTCCAGTTCTTTAGAGAACACATAGTAAAGAAATGTCATATTTCTTTTTACCTTGGATTTCTCAAGCTGTTGCTCTAACTTTGCTGCCCTTCGATTGGCCTGATTCAGTAATCTGGAGGTGTCCTTGTTTTGCTCTAAACAGCACAAACACATGATTACCTTGACATATGAACACCAAACAAAACACGCACACAAAATCTGAGAAATGACTCAGTCACCTTTCTCTTTTTTAATCTGTTCCTGCAGCTTTGTAATAGTTGCCTCACTTTTCTGCAAGCTGAAAAAAAAAATAATTATGTGCTAATGACAACAAAAATCACATGAAAACCACTGACTTCCATCTCAGAAAAATACCATTTTAATTTCAAAGATGGTTTCAATATTTCCATAGATTTTTTTTTTTTTATTGAAGTAAAGACCTCTTGCCACTACTTCCTCCTTGCACAGTTAAGTGCCCATTCCATCACTGCAAAATAATATCATTTTCGTGATATTATCTTTAGCTCATAGGGTGCAGAGAGCTTTGGTTCATCTTGAGTAGGATTCAACAATACAAGGCAGTGATGAACGTTACGTCCCCCATGTAGCTGGCAGTATTGTGTGTCTTTCAACCCTTGGACCTAAAAGTGACCAGCATCTAATTTCTCCTTACAATATCACCCCTGAATTGCACATTAAGGTCAGGAGAATAAAGGAATTGATCACCAACAAAAGAAGCTCTTCTTGTTAAACAACCTCTTCTTGTCAACAAGGTATTTTGGTTTTATCAACTAAGTTGAAATTGTAAATTAGCCACCGTAAAGAGTTAATAGCTGATGCACCGAGCATTAACCCTTTGTCAGAGTGAATGACAAAGGGCTAACACTCAAAACATCAGCTTTTTAACTCTTTACAGTGGCTAATTTACAATTTCAACTTAGTTGATATAACCAAATTACCTTGTTACCCCCACCGATGCAGCAACGCAGTTTCTTTCTAAACTTTTACCCTTTATTCATTTTTCTTGTCTACAGAATGGAGGATATGCATACTGACATTAAGGGGTAAAGAGTTACCTCTTTTTCTGTGTTTGCATCTCATGAGCCTGAACTTGTTTCTCAAGTCTCCACTCACATTCTTGTTCTTCTTTGAGTTTTGTCACACTCAGTAGCTCTGAGTTTGTTTTCTGCAATCAATAATCACATCATTTAAAATTAACAACAATGATTTGGTCTGATTGTTGTCAAAGAAGTAGTTGTTCATCATCAAATAACGAACAACTGCATGAAATTGTTTTTCATCTTTCACACACTACTTAAC